CCATGACTCCTATTTTGTAATTGCCAACCGAATAGAGAATATATAAATCGAATTTTGGATTCTACACAAAACCGAGTTGAAATCTATAAAGTAATCTAGATAGAAATTAAAAATCAGAGGACGAAGACGAACGAACCTGATATAGCGAGGCGTTGATTTAAGACAGGCAGCAGCAAATCACTCGTAGTTGTCCCTGAGAATACTAGGCGAAGACGACGACGAGAGGACGATTTCAAAATTTGAATTTTTTTTCTCAGACTTACCACAATTTTGTCTCCAATTTTGACCCGAAACCCGATTTCTTCGGATTCAACCCGATATGACAGACTGGGTGTGGATCTTCGTGGTTGGATTAGTAAATATGAAACTTTAGTAAGGACCTACCAGTATTTGACCGCTTTTCTCCCTTTTTCTTGCTTTAAAATAAATCGAAAACAAATTAAAAATTATGAGGAGGAGATTTGAGAATTTCTATAATGCGGAAGGAGTATGCGAGATTATCTCTCAAGTAATCGATGTAAATTTATAATTTCAATCAGTTTTTAAAAAATGATGTAAACTATCATAGATTTGTATCACTTTTACTGAAGTGATGAAAATTAAATAAATAACAGCATCATTTACTATAATTGATGTTAAACCAAATATTTAGTATCATTTAGTAATAAGTAATTCAAATTAATATCACTCGTTTAACTGATTCCATTTAAGTGATGCAATACATCTATTTTTTTGTAGTGTAACTCTCACATTTTTGGTGTGAGAAAATAAACTTTAAATTAACTTTCATCTTTTTGGTGTGACAAATAATATTTAAACTAAATCTCACCTTTTTGGGTGAGAAAAAGATCAAGAGACTATCGTGCTGATAATGTATTGTGAATAGGAAATAAGGAGAAAATTATTATGTCTTATTTCATGAATAATAAAAGGTATATATAATATTACAAAGATCTAGTTATGTCCACATATTACCGATGTGAGACTCTTAGCAATAGTTTAAACCTCCTTATGATATGAACCTTATAATAAACATCCATATTAATAATTCATAACAAAATGTCATCTCTTGTAATTTAATATATATATATATATATATATAATTAACAGATTCAATCCATAAAACTGATCCCAACAATTTCCTTCCATTTCATAATATATAGAACATAAACATTCATGAATTACATTTTCTGTTGCAAATTTGCTACGAAACAATCCTATTAATAAAGGGAAAATTGGAAATATAACAGGTAAAATTGAAAATAAAGGAGGACAAAAAAACTCACCTATTGTCCTTTTGAGATTTTGATACTAAATATTGTCACGATAGGATTTATAATAATAAAAATCCAATTTTACCCTGAAAACACAAAGCACATGTTCTTAGATGGAGTTAACTTTTTGTCAAAAAAATAGATGGAGTTAACAGTTACGTGTTCGAGAATCTATATGACGTAATTTTGACGCAGGCTTCAGATATCTATCTGGAAATGGGTACACAAGAATTCCTGCAAAAAAAACATGGGCCATGACTCTTAAAATTCATTTGTATCTGGTTCAGATTGTACACAACCTTCAAAGGTTGAAGACCCAAAGCAATGTATAACCCCAATGACTTCTTGCCAAGCTGTCAAAATTTTGACTCCAAAAACAGATGGTGATAAGGGGAATAAAACACTCTTCACTGACTTAAAACTGTCGGACACAGTAAGTTACCAAAAAGAAGATGCTGATAATTCATTGGTTTTTGTGTCAGAATAATTATGGATTCAACTACAAAACAGGTCTATGCCGCTCAAGTGAGTCTCAAAATTTTATTTTCAAGGAAATTTATACATTACATATTTCAGAAATTAATAAAGTTCTCGAAATTGGTGTACTTTTTCAGAAATTTGCCAATTGGTCCAAGTGTTTTCAGTTTCAAATTAGCAACTCGTATAATTGGACCGAGAACATGATGCAGAAGAAGAACTTTTTTTTTAAAAGATTTTTTAGTTTTGACAATTAATTAGATCTTAGATTTGCTTAGATTTTTTTTCCAACTGAGATTAATACCAATTTTCCCATTAATAAATTATATGCTGACTCTCTTATCTTAGTTGTAACAACAAAGCAAAGTTTGTTAATAAATGTTATTAGCATGATAATATGCTAATATTTTATTTCTCATTAATCATAAAATTTACAAATTTACAAATTTAAATAAATACTAATTGAGATTAATTTACTATATACCAAGTGTCTGGCGAATGTATACAATCTACTGTTTAAATTCACTAGATACTTGTTTGTATAGTAAATTAATCTCAGTTTATTATATTTATGTTAAGAAATCTTTAAAATTTTTAATAATTAAAATGAGAATAAAATGTTAGCAAATTATCATGCTGATAAAATTAACATTGACATCATATAAATTAGGAAATTTTATATTGGTAAGAATCCACGTGTTAAATAAATAGACAAATGTAGTTAAAGATCTACAAAATCTTAAATAAAATAAATTTATGGTAACTTAAAATTAATTCTTTTTTCAATGGTATTACATCTTAAAATTATTTTAAATGGTATCTGAAAATAATTTTAAGATGTAATACCATTGAAAAAAAAGAAAGAATTTTAAGATACCATAAATTTTAGCGTCTTTGTATTTTGGCAGAAGTAAATTATAAGAGAAAATTAAAAAATCAGCTCATAAATAAGCAGAGATAAACCAATCAAGAGCGGCGAAACAAAAATTCGTCTAATAAAATATAAGCATGAGTAGCCAATCAGAAGCGAGCTTCTCAAATTTTAACCAATCAGGAGCGTGTCGACATTTTTTAGGCGCCAAAAATTTAGCCAATCAGAACAGGTTTTGTCTTCTTGTCGGGGACCGGGTTGAAAGAGAAACCATTTTTGACCAGCTCGCTCGCTTCACCCCAGCGATCGCTAGAGAACGAATTCTCAGAACTCGAATCCTTCTTGGCATTTTGCTGTACTCATCCCTCATTGAAGCTTAATCGAGGTAATTGACATTTCGTTGGATATTCTTCTTCATTTCGTTATTGGGAAGTCGTTGCCCAAGAACCACAATTGGGATTAAATTCGATTATTGAATAGGCAATGGTATACTATGGAAATTGTAATTGGTTGCTAATCGACTGGGTATTTATTGGATTTGAGTTTTAGATGCTGTAAATCGAGTTAGATTAAAGTTTCTCCACGAGTTGACAATTAGATCTAATTAAATGAGAGAGATAGAGTAACAATTGGTATTACCTGTGTATTTCTGGAAACAACTGGAAACATTTCTTATGCGGTTGAGTATGGTCTATGTGTTATTTTTTCAGGTGATAATGATAACGAACCTATTTTGGATTACAGGAGATATTATTCAACTTCGGAGGATAAATGGATTTCAGCCCCAGCGTCCATGTATGGTGTAATGTTTAAGTCATCAAGTTTGGAGGAGATTACTTATTCTGATTTAGTGGAAAAGATATGCACGAAGGTTGGGATTGTTGAATCTTCGAGTAAGTTGATATTGAGTTACATTCTGGTACTAGTGCAAACTCAGAAACAGTTTCATATTTCGAATGATGACGACCTAGCAGTGTTCCTGACCTCACTGGATAAAGAGGGACGCAGAAGTATTATTAATGTAGAGGTCATCAAAGGTGTTGAAGTTGGGGAGGAATTTTCCAGAGTTGAGAGGGTAAGTTCAGTTGGTATAAATTATGGGGGGTTGCGTTTAGGTAATGGTGGATCAAATAATGGTATACTTGCTATTTACACAGGCAACAGTTCAGCAGGATAAGAACATCACGAGAATGTCCCATTGATAGAGGAAGCTGACGGTGATGAGGGAAAAGATGGTGATGATGTTACACATTATGGAGAAGATGGTGATGATGTTACACGTGAAAATGGAAAAGATGGTGATGATGTTTCCCGTGAAAATGCTGATGTAGTAGATGATGATGCTAAAGCCAAGTTTGATAACAAAGAGAAGGAATACAAAGGGTTTGATTTTAATTATGGTCCCCCTCCTAAAGTTGTAAAAACACAACATTTTGAATGGGAAGACGGTATAAATCTGAGAGTGGGGCAAAAATTTGCATGTAAACAAGATTTGATAGATTTAGTGTATAGAGCTTCACATCAATATTATTTTGGTCTGACTATAAAGAATTCAGATAAGAGGCGATATGTCGTGAAATGCAGTGAAACAGGTTGTAATTGGTATTTACGAGCTTGGAAGGATGCGAATACACCCTGTTTTTCTATAACAGTATACCGGAAGATGCATACTTGTTCTCGGGCCAGTGCGAGTACAAACAGCAAACAAAGGAAAGGAACACCAGGATGAGTTGCATATGTTGTTAAGGAGTTGTATCCAAGTCGATTAGATACACCAACTCCTCACGCTGTCATGCTTTTGGTTAAACAAAACGCTTTTGTGAGTGTGTCATACTCCACCGCATGGAGAGGAGTATAGCAAGCTAAATCTCTGGTTCGTGGTTATCCTGCAAACAGATATAGAGATCTGTACTCGTATTTGTACATGCTACAGAAGGTGAATCCAGGTACAAACACACAAGGTGTTACTGGACGAACAAGGAAGATTCAAGTACTTATTTGTCGCTTTGGGAGCTTGCGTTGAGGGGTTTGTAGCTATGAGAAGAGTGATAGTTGTTGATGCAACTTTTTTGAAAGCCAGAATGGGTTGTCAACTAGTCTTAGCTGCTTGTCAGGATGGTAATCGTCACCATTATCCGATTGCTTTTGGAGTTATTGATTCAGAAAAAAAATGACAGTTGGGAGTGGTTTTTCAGGCAGTTAAAAACGGTTATACCCGATAGTCCTGAGTTGGTTATTGTTTCGGACAGAAATTTAGGCCTCATTAATGCAGTAGCTGAGGTGTACACGGAAGCTAAACATGGGTATTGCACCTGGCATCTTTCACAGAATGTGAAAATGCAAGTTTCAAGGGATAAAAAATAGTTGCAGATACATTCATGGAGTGTGCAAAGCAGTATACAGAGGCCGAGTTTCTTGATCATTATTCGAGGATGGCATTAAAGTATCCTGCTGTGACCGATTATCTAGAAAGGCGTGTAGAAGTATCGAAATGGGCTAAGTGCTATTTTTCAGCAGAGAGGTACATTCTAGATACTAGTAACGTTATGGAGTCCTTGAATAGTGTGTTTATAGATGCAAGGAAACTGCCATTATTACCTATGATAGATGCGATTGTTGACAAGTTGTGTGAATGGTTTAACAAGCATAGGAACAAGGCTGCTTCAATGCCACCAGGACGCAAACTGGTTGCCTTAGTGGAAATTATTTTTCACAGTAGATGTGCTGAATCTAAGAAATAGGTGTCACCGAGTTAAACATGATTCAGATTGAATACAGCGTGCTTGGATTAGATGGGATTAATTACACGGTGAGCTTGAAAAATAAAACTTTCTCGTGCAAGCTTTTTGATATAGACAAGTATCCATGTGTCCATGCATTAGCCGTATTAGAAGCTTACATGAAGCGGCCAAACAAAGAAGTGGATATAAATGTGGAGGACTTGTGTTCGATGTATTATTTAACCGAGCAGTGGGCTTTTGCTTATAACAGAACCATCTATCATGTTCCACATAAGTCACAGTGGGTTGTCCCCGATGATGTTAAGAAATTGAGCGCTTTGCCCCCGGTTTACGAGCCAAATAGGGGGGCAAAACAGCAGAAAAGGCATCCATCCGTTGGAGAGCGTCGACCAAAGTCGAAGAGGACGAAGACGAGTAATAAGCGTCAGCCGGAATCTTACAAAATTTATAGCTATTTTACTGGATGTGAAAACGCTGGAAGTGAAAATTTTGGAGGTGAAAATGGTGGAAGTGAAAATGCTGGAGGAGGTGTCTCGGGTGATAACGTGGTTTAGTTTGGAAAAATGAGAGATATGTTGGGATTGTATTACTCGGAAATACTTAGTACAACCATCTTTGGATTTAGGTTTTATGTTGTGATTGTATTACTCGGAAATACTTAGTACAACCATATTAGGATTTAGGGTTTATGGTGTGGTTGTATTACTCGGAAATACTTGATGCGGTCAATATCTTCAAACGACGTCTCATTTGAGTTAATGCGGTCAATATCTTCAAACGACGTCTCGTTTTCCCCAAACATGATAAAGCGGATTGTTATTTAACGTAGACCCAAAGAGTTTCTAAAACACAATCCCATTCATCTACTATGGCTATGCAAAGCGGGTTTTCTGTTTGCCCATAGAGATGAAAAACGAAATACTAAAGAAGGTAGTCAGTTCTATCACTCGCGATTACTGTAGGGCTTTAGTTGCAAGTAGGGATTTTTACCAGATCTCCAAGGATCCAATCTTCCTTCGGACCGTGGATTTGCTAAGTGTGCCCACACCTTGGTTCTTTGATATGGCATGGATGAGAATGTTCAAGGACAGATGTTTGGCAGAAGGTAATCCTACGGCTCTATTTGAAAGAGGTCTTTCAATTTTTTTCTATGTCCATGATATAGAGGGAGGGATGGCAATGCTTAAGGCGTCATCGGAAGTGGGATTCTCGATGGAAAAATTTTGCCACCGAATGCTTGTCCTCATCATGTCCGGATGCGACGTGAGCTTAACATCTGTCCCAGATTTTACACCGGCGGAATCAGAAGAAATTTGATTACGAATTGAAAGAGCAAGCCCTAGAGGACCCCCGTATGTCACTCCAGCACAGTTTGGAGAGAGGATTACATTGGTGGTGGACAAAATTAATAACTTGCATTGTGGAAGTGGAGACATTCACCCATTAGTAATTATGATGGGATATGCATACGTGCCCTCCGATTGGTGCGAGTCTTGCAATTAGACAATGGAGGCAGCAAAATTAGAGTTGGATATTAGAAATCGCTTCGTGAAAGAGTGGCCAACTTGATCCATCAGAGTGAAAATTTGTTTTTGTTTTATTTAAGTATTACTCGTATAACTTTGTAAAACAACGTATTGTTTTCTCTTGTTTTCTCTCCTTAGTCTTTTGTTCAAAGTTCAAAGCTCTCTTTCTCGTTCAAAGTTCAAAGTTCTCTTTCTCGTGTATGTAAAGAGTAAAAATACCTCGTATCAAGAGGATATAATATGAGTTATTCTCAAAAAGTCAGAGAATGTTCGTCGGGAAAGGAGAATAGTAAAAACAAAGTAAAAGGGAGATAAAGAAGAAAAAACTACGTGGATGATGAGTATAACTAGAATTATTAGTACAACGATGTTCAACAAACCCAGTTAATATAAACGCTCTAGTTTGGTCAGGAAAACCTGGTATAACTACGCTCTAGTTATACTCATTTGTTGTTCTGACCACAAATAATTGTGAACTGGGGAGGAGAAGCAAGAGTGAAAAAGTTGTGAACGTAGTACTTTTAGGGCAGAGAATGTCGTGTAAAAGTTAAAAACACGATAGAATGTTCGTCGGAAGAAGAGAAAGGTGATCATGTGTCAGGTAGATTAATATTATAATAATAAGAAATAAGATTAAAAGAGACTCGTTTCCAGGTGACGTCGTTTTGAAGAAGTTAACCAACCCTTAACCACCAATAGACTAATTTAAACCGATTTCATAATTTGGAGATGGCAAAATATGACCACGATAATAATCTGTATTTTAAAATATGATCGTTTTCATGCTAACACTTATCAGGGACTAGTAAATAGTGTTTTAAACAACTAAAAATAATGAAGAAATAATACGAATCTCACCACACCCGACACGTAAGTTTCAATCTCCTTTTATTGTCACATTGTCAAGCTTAGGCCATCAATGATGGAAAGAATATGTATCATACTTTTCCTCGAATGTTGTTTGATGAACAAGTTGATAATTTGCTGTTATAACCAATTATGAAACCTATTACCGGAATATAGTCTTGAAATTTCAGTATTACTGTGAATACGGTATATCGACCAAAAGTAACACTATGTGGACGATGTGCATAACTGGAAAACAAGGCACGCTTACGTTTTAAATTCCCAGTTACAATAAACGACATATGTCCATATTAAAATAAATTATGTCAGCCACACGTGAGCTACGACAGGTGTTCTTTAGCTGAATACGTATCTATGTGTCAGGTAGAATATTATTGAATATAATAATAGGAAATAAGATTAAAGGAGACCCGTTTCCAGGTGATGTCGTTTTGAAGAAGTTAACCAACCCTTAACCACCAATAGACCAATTTAAACCGATTTCATAATTTGGAGACGGCAAAATACGACCACGATAATAATCAGTATTTTTAAAAATGGTCGTTTTCATGCTAACACTTATCAAGGACTAGTAAACAGTGTTTTAAACAACTAAAAATAATGAAGAAATAATACGAATCTCACCACACCCGACACTTAAGTGTCAATCTTCTTCTATAGTCACATTGTCAAGCTTAGGCCATCAATGATGGAAAGAATACGTATCATACTTTTCCTCGAATTTTGTTTGATGAACAAGTTGATAATTTGCTGTTATAACCAATTATGAAACGTATTACCGGAATATAGTCGTGAAATTTCAGTATTACTGCGAATATGGTATATCTACCAAAAGTAACACTATGTGGATGATGTGTATAACTGGAAAACAAGGCACAACTACGTTTTAAATTCCCAGTTATAATAAACGACATGTGTCTTATTGGGTTTGAACACGTGTCTTATTGGGTGGAACAAATAGACCCCACTACAATTATTTATTATTTCCCAGGTTTATCGATGAAACTCAAATTTGTTTTTCGTGCCCAAAACATACATTTCCAATTTTGAGTTTCCCCCCCCCCAAAACAGACACTTCCAAATTTGAGTTTCCCCCAACATCAAAATTCATTAAAATATCTGGGTTTACACACAAATCACAACCAAAACACAAAACACTCAGTTGTTTGCAAATAAACAATTTCTTGCAAGAATGCCAAGTCTTGGCTCGTCGTCCGACTCGGAGATTTCAAGCGGGAGCCCTCCACCCGAATTGTACGAAGATTCTCCGAATCCCACGATTCTGTTATTGTCATCGTAAACCAATCATCAAAACTTCCTTCACCATTTTGGATCCGGGACGAAGATTCTTCGCTTGCAATAAGGAATACGTAAGTTCAGCTGTTGATTGTTTTTAATTTCGTACCAAAAATATTTATACGGTTTGTGTCTTGTAGAATCCCGGATGTCATCTCTTCAAGTGGTGTGATGAGGCGATGCTAGAAGAGATTGCAGATGTTTGGCATGATTTGACCGAGATGCAAGGCCGGAATGGTTGGACTAGAACCATGAACCGGATTCACTCGACGGAGATTTCCCAGCTATAGGAATCGGTAAACAACCTGAAGGAGGAAATGGTTGAGGCAAGGAGGTCTCATGCTCTCCTTTATGAGATGGTTTGTGACTTGGTTTTCAAAGAAATGGATAGGGAATTGGAACAGACGCGACGAACTAAGATATTTTAGGAAGTTAAGGACATGGTTGTTCTATCTGTTCTTGCTGTGGCCTTGGTTTCTTTAACTATCTACCTGTTCAAGTAGTTACGATTCATGGTTGTACTCAAGACTTACTCAATTTTCCGAAAAAAACATATGGTTACACCAAATGATACCAAGTATTACATATTTTCGATTTTCGGGATTACATGTGGTTACACCAAATGATACCGAGTATTACATATTTTCGATTATCCGATAAACATGTTACACCAAATGATACTGAGTATTACATATTTTTGGTTTTCGGGATTACAAGTGGTTACACCAAATGATACCGAGTATTACATATTTTCGATTATCCGATAAACATGTGGTTACACCAAATGATACCGAGTATTACATATTTCGATTTTCGGGATTACATGTGGTTACACCAAATGATACCGAGTATTACATATTTTCGATTATCCGATAAACATGTGGTTACACCAAATGATACCGAGTATTACATATTTCGACTTTCGGGATTACATGTGGTTACACCAAATGATAACGAGTATTAGGGTTTCCTTATTAGGGATTCCTTATGTATCGACTGAGATAATATAGTGGATAGAATAACACATAGAATTTTACTAATATTTTTTTGTACATTAATATATTACTGTCATAATTTTTAAATAATAAAATATTTTACAACGGAAAACAGTAAAACATAAAATTCATTATTTTATTGTGAAAAACACCATTAATTAATTCATGGTGTGTGCCTCGGTCATCAGGCAGGCCTCCTTCTTGAACCGCTCCGGTTCCAAGACGCACATGCATGCGACGTCTGCGAGGTAGTTGTCCTCTTCCTCGACCTTAGGGTGAAGCAGCATGTCATGGAGCGCTTGGAGGAGTTCCTTCACCGTCGTTCCAAACTTCCAGGTAGCGGTGACGAGTAGCGGATGGAAGACGCGGGGTTTGTCGATGTTGGGGTGCAGAATCGGCGTCTTCCACGAAACCATTGGTGGCTTGAAGGGGTAATCCGGTGGGAAATGGATGGAGATGAAGAAGATGCCCCCTTCGTATGGACTACTAGGGGGCCCAACAGCGTTGCTTGCCATTCGTAAATGTCTTCTGCCACCGGCCCTGCACTGAACCCACTCGCCGGAAACCGTACCAACTCCCTCAGATGAGTCATGATCCACACCTTATGGGCCATTTTGAAGTGATAAAGAGAGCAACGATAGCACTAAATAGAGAGAAGAGAATTTAGAAGATAGATATGAGTGAGAGAGAGAGAGCGAGTTATATTTATGGAAAGAGAAAGGCAAAACCCTAGGGTGCGACTCATATAATAAATACCTTTCAAAACCGTTCAGCCTTATCGTACGGAGCAGTTAAAACTCACATCTTTCTCTCCCCTACTAAACCCAAAAATATTTATTTACTTAATGTATAGGCAAAAATCAAATACAG